GGTCTGCTCTCAATGAGTTCATATCCCAGTCTGCATTCATGTCTGGGATTGTCCTGATCAGGTTCTGCACCTTGCACTTGAACTTCTTAAAACTTCATCAGGTTCTCATGGGCCCACTTCTCAAGTTTCTCCAGGTTCTTCAATCTCCCATCTTCCATCTTCYCCAGATTTCTCCAGGCCTCCCTGGATGGAACTCTCCTCTGCAGTGTCGTCCTGCACTGCTCAGCTTCATGTCATCTGCAAACTTGCCAATGGGGCACTCAATATAGTWTCTCTGTCACTGTCAACGATATTAAAGAGCACCAAAAAGTCCCAAGACAAAGCCTTGAGACATGCCCCTCTTTCCCTGCCTCCATGTGGTTGTAGAGCCACAGACCAAAGCTGTGCCCATCCAGCCATTTCCATATTCACAATAGTGCACACTTCAAATCTGAGCATTGGGTTTGTGTGGCCCAGTTTTGGTAGCAGGAGGGCTACAGGGGTGGCTTCTGTGAGAAGTTGCTGGAAGCTTCCTTCGTGTCCAGCAGAGCCAAAGCCATCTGACTCCAGGATGGACTCACCCGTGGACAAGGCTGAGCCCAGCAGAGATAGAAGTGACACCACATATTTAAGAGGAAAAGAGCTGGGAAGGAGGGAGAGGTAGGGGGAAGATTACTGGTTTTTTTGTTGGGTTTTTTTTTTTTTTATAAGACTTACTTGACTTCTTGTTATGTTCCTCTGATTTTGCTGATAATTAATTCAATTGATATCCCTTAGCTGAGTCTATTTTGCYTGTGACAGTATTTGGTAAGAGATCTCTTCTGGTTCTTAACTCATGAACAATTACATTTTCTCTCCCCTGTCCATTTGTAGAGGAGAGTGAGAGTGGCTTTGGTGGGTGCCTGGCATCCGGCCATGGTCAACCCTCTACACTGTGCCTCTTAGATTTGGGGATAAGGATGTTGTGTGGACCATGCTGAAGGCCTGACGGAAGTTCAGGTGGATGACAATGGCCAGTCTTACCTTGCTGACTTTCAGTCACTCCATCATTGAAGGCCACCAGATTKCTCAGACATGACTTGCCCTTGGAGAAGCCTTGCTGGCTCTTTTGGATCACCTCCTTGACCTGAGTTTGACTTAGAGTTGCTTCCATGAGGATCTGCTCCATGATCTCCTCAGACACAGAGGTGAGGCTCACTAATCTGTGGTTCCCCGGCTCTTTTATATTGCCTCTTTAAAAATCCAGGCTGCAGTGGGATGCCCACGTTCCCCTGTATATGAGGATGGGCCATGTCCTTCCCTCTCCCTCCCTCCCTGCTCAGCTCACCCTGATRGTTATTTGTTGTTGTCTCCCCATCYATGTGCATCAGGCTGCTGGTTTTGAACCTGTTCTGCCTTAACTCTGCCCTCAGGAAAAATTTCTGGCTTGTTTTGACTTGTCCACTTTCTGAGTAGTCTGTGMGTACACAAACAATGCCATGAGCTTGCCTGGGGCCTTGCCCTTCCCCGTGAGGCTCCAGCCTTGCTGTGGCTGTCTCCTGGTGTCCTCAGCAGAGTTCACAGCAGGGTGTGTTCCTGCGTGTACTCATGTCTCAGGTGCTCTGTGTGCAGCCAGACTTGTGTGACCGAACCACAGRTGCGTATTTGACAGGTGTATGTGAACACGTGTCCTGTTGTGTCTCCCCTCACAAACAGACTATGTTCCTCATGGCAGGGCCTCCAAGGCCCTGAGCAAAGCTGCTCCACCTGTCCTTGGGAGTGACAAGGCACCACCGAGCAGTGAARGGTCTGTGGGCATCACTTACTGTCCCTGGTCTGCCCTGGGCCTGTGAGGGTTCATGGGGACTCCAGTGTGTGACCCAGTGTGGTTTATCCCAGGACTGACTTGTGAAGGATGCCAGCCCTKCATACCTGCAAAACATGGGCCCTGCCACAGGCCTTGGGTGTGGTGGTAGGGCTGCAATGAGGACCTGATCCCAGCTGCCCATGCCCATTTGTGCTGGCCYTGGTCTGAGACAGGGCAGAGGAGAGGAGCAGMAGGTGGAAATGARGCCRTGGGCCAGCTCTGAGGCTGTTCCAMACAGCCAYACTCCTGACAATCTCTGGGRATATTTTCTGTGWACCCCAGCACAGCAYTGACCAGAGCAAGAGGTGCCCCRTGGTCCTGCAGTGTGGCTTCTCTCCAGGACCTCCCACAGAATTCTAGCTGTCACTTGAGGACAGCAGAGGTTTTGGCAGGAGCTGTTGGGGGTATATTTGGGCAGGGGCACTGAAGGGCAAGGGCTTGCTGCTACTTGCTGTGGGAGAGCTGGCGATGTTTTGCACCCTGCCCCAGGACTGTGTCCCAAAGAGGAYCCTCTGCAGCATATCCCAACCTCCCGTTTTTCTGGGTGAAGAATCTCACTACATTGTCACTTTAACCCCTGCCAGGATCATGACTGTTCTCCCTCAGCAGCTTGCAAGGACATATGTGAAGAAAAGAACCACCTGGACAGCCAGCCTGAGATGCAAAAACCTTTATTGAGTTTAAGAAGGTAACCAAAGTTGCTACAAGCACAGGCCATCAGTGCAGGGATCTGGAGGGACAAGCAAGATGCTTTGCAAGCTCTTGGCCATGGTGAAGTCCAGGCAGGGCATCCATTTGCCTTKCCTGCAGAGTGCAGGCTGGCTTGGAGGAGCCTTGCAGCACAGGGGAGCAGAAGGACATGATGAAAAGAGAGAAAAGGAGATATGTAGGAAATACATAGGACATGCTTTCGAAGTGCCTGAGCTGTCGCTTCCTGCCAGGGTTTTCAGGAGGAACTAATGATGGTTTGTTCCTCTGAAAAAAAATGATCTGAAGATTCCTCTTTTGTCCAGCACCAGGTCTGGAGATCCTGGGGAGACTTCCCAAGACCTGTAAATGCYCAGCACCATTAGCAGGGGAGGCCCCTCCTTCCACCGTAGCTCCTGGTGATGCAGGACAGGTCGAAGCCCCCAGAGTTGATGGGCACTCCACCACAGCTGAGGATGYTGCCAACAGCAGCAGAGGTGGAGGATCCCACCACGGTGTTCTGAGGGAAGGAGCTGAGGATGGGACCAGGCAGGGTCACCAGCACAGCAGGTGGCTCAATGACAACGGTGGAGTCCTGGCATTGGCGAACACAGGGCTCATTGCAGCTGTTGGCCAGTGGTGTGGGGCCACAGGGCTGGCAGGGACGGCATTGGGTGTTGCAGGACATGTCTTGGGTCCGGAGATGCACCTGGCAGAGAGAGCAGAGAGAAAGCAACGCACAAGGGTAGGTGGGTGAKGAGAAGCCTGGTTACCCCATCACCAAAGAGCCAAGGCGATCACGAGTGGGAAGCTGGAGACTGTGTCAGGAGCCCTACAAAGAGCAGTCTGACTCAAGGAAGTTCTCTCCCAGGCCATAAACGAAAGCCACCACAGTCACCAGCTTCTCTCTATGCCAGCCTCCTCCCCTCGTTCATCTTTCAGCACCAGATCCTCCAAACCCCAAATATGAGAAAGCCAATATCAGTTGAGATGTCCACCAAGTGGAGATCTCACTTTGGAAGAGAAAGGGCTTCAGACTCACCTGGTTCCCAAGCAGAAGGAAGCAAGAGAAGTGGCTGAGAGAGCAGGGGCTCGGGCTGCCTTTTATACCTGCCCTGCACTGCCGCAAGAGCAGGGCAGACTTTGCAGAGGTAACAATTTCCCAGCAAGCTCATCTTGGATGCAAACCACACCTAATGATATGGGCTGTGCTTTTATTTCCTCACTGCTGCCTTTTCATTGCTACATTTGTTCCATGCCCRTTCCCCAATGAAGGCTCTTTCTGACCCCGGGATAAAAGGCCCTGGCATTTCTAAGGCAGGAATGAAGTTGTGCGGGCAGAAAACTCTGTTTATGTGCTGGATGGGCCCAGACCAGGCAAGTGATGAACCAGCCTGTATAACTCTGGTGGGGTTGTTTGAGTTCCAGCAATYCTCACCTGGATGCCCAAGGACCCCTGTGGATGAGGATATTCCCTATCCTTCTCTTTCCTTCCCTATGGTCTTTCTTCCTTCCCCATGTCCACAGACGGTGCAATTTCTTTTGGCACCAACCTGTCTAACTCTACCCTCAGGAAAAGTTTCTGTCTTGTTTTGACTCATCCCCTCTTTGTGCAGCACAAACAGTGCCATGGGCCTGTCTGGCTCCTTGTCCTTCCTCACAATGCTCCAACCCAGCTGTAGTTGTCCCCAGGTGTCCTCAGCAAAGTCCACAGTGTGTTGTGCTCCTGCAACCTTGACTTTTACAGGATGGGACCAGGCAGGGTCACCAGCACAGCAGGTGGCTCAATGACAATTGCATGGTCCCATGCAATCCTGGAGAAACCTGGAGAAGGTCCTGGGGATAGCTTAAATCACATTCCAGTGCCTAAAGGGGCTCCAAGAGAAATGGAAATAGACTTTTTACAAGGGCATGGAGTCACAGAAAARGGGAATGGATTCCCACTGAAAAAGGACAGATTCATATTTGTTGCTAWGAAAAAATTCCTCCCTRTGAGGGTGGTGAGGCCCTGGCACAGGTTGTCCAGACAAGCTGTGGCTGCCCCACCCCTGGAAGTGACCACATTGACYGCAACCTGGCCAGTCAAGGCAAGGTTGGATGGAGCTTTAAGGAACCTGGCCTGGTGGAAAGTACTTTTGTCCATGGTGACAGGGTTGGATCATCATAGTCCCTTCAAACCCAAGCCATTAAACGATTCTATGGAATTTGAGAGGAGCAGTTCCCTCCTTGTCTCTGCTTGCATGTAGCTCTGATCTCAACCTGTCCAGCAGTGGCACCTGGGGGCAGTGGGAGGTTGGGCTCCTGTCCCCCCACCTGGGCTGCTGTGAAGCCTATACTCATGCAACTTTTAGAGTTGCTTCTAGATTCAGAGATTTTGATGATGAAAACTGTCCAGGAAGCCTGACTTGGGGCAGATCCATTGGAGGCTACCATAAACAATCCAAGTCAGCCTTGTCAATGCCCTCTGCCTAAAGCAGGTAGTACACTGGAGTTCTCAGGGCAAGGCACCTATCAGCTTTCTTCCCATTCCCTTTCCATGGGTCTCCACTGATGGCCACAGCTAGAGAACGAGGTCTTTGGCAGGAGGCACAACTGCTCTTATGGTTTCTTCATGGGGCCACAGTAGTCCAAGAAGGGAAGAACCCTTCCTTGCCCTCCATCAGCAAATGGGAAGCAGCCATCAGCCAGACTGTGGGCAAGATTCTTCCTGCACTCATCCACTGCCAGAGAGTAGTCCCACTCTTTTTTATGTGCCTCCTWCTTTTCAGGGAAATGACCAGTGCTGGAGAGAGCTCCTGTGTTCCTGAGTGCATGCCAGTTTCTCTGTCCAACAGCTGGTGGATCTCAGTGATTGTGATTCCYCCCATGAGCTAAAAGAAGGGTTCTGGGGACCTCTTCTCAGGCTATCCCACTACAGCACTGCTTATGCAAGCTCAGCCCAAGGAAGCTGAGCTTCCAGATGGATCCCCCCCTTTGAATTGCAGTCAGTTCCTCTTGAAGTATCATCCCCTTCACCTGAGAAACCTTAGGGTACATGTTTGTTTTGCTACTGCTGTTCCAGGATAGCTTGCCTCTCCCGAGTGACTCTGCTCTGACAGCCCTGAGTGAAGCTTTGCACTCTCTTATTTATCTCAGAGGGCTCTGAGAAGTGCTGATGAAGAATTCACAGCAGCTCTCACTGTTGTGYACTCTGCTGTGTCTAGGATATATTGCACATTTCAGCTCCTGCTTTCTGTTGCTCCCTGGTACTGCAGAGGGCTTCAAAACTCCAAATATACAATTCTCCCAAAAATGCATCATTCCTAAGCACGGATGACAAGCAGTGATGTCTACCTGAGGATAAATCCACTCACAGGCTCTCTCTGCTTTCTCAGTGTGCTGTCCCAGGGATTTTCCCAAATGCAGCTGAAAAAGAGCACAGCTGACAAAGAGTGGGAATTGGTGGTGTCTGGGCCTGGATGTAGGTCTAAGCACCATTGCTTCTAGGAGAGAGGAGTAGATGTTCAATTCAGACTCAATCATCTCCCCTGGAGAGCTCTGCACTCAGGTGAAATTAATCCCACACCCTCCATAAACACCTGTCTACCACGCTGATGCYTCCTCATTATGAGGTGGTTACACGGACTCTCCTCACTGTCAGTATGTGAAAAGGAAAACTTTGAGAACATGATTCACCTGTACTGAAATGAAACTCGGGAGGGGAAAGGCAAGTGCTGTTTGGAAGCACTAATACCCTTCCAGTGAGTGTAAAGAGAGACTTTACACTTGTTTTCCAGACAGCCTTCCACAGSTCTGCACTTTGAGTGCTTTGCCAAACACATTAGAGTTTTTCCACAACAAAGCCCAAAATGGGTGGAACGATGTACTGCAGAAAATTATGTGGGTTTTTAGATGTGGAAATGCCCTGACACATCTARTATGAAGCACACAATTTTGCATAATTTTAATTAAAAATAAGAGAGTAGATTCAGATGTTAAGGAGAGAAAAGAAGAGGAATTACGCAAATTTTGTTTGCAGTCTTATGTTAGTAATAATGGCTATTGGCAGAGATATGAGACATTGCCAAATTTTATCTTGAATCAGAGTACTATTTGATKAAATAGCTACAAGAATGTGGCATAGATTCATCCACAAAACATCAGGTTGAATGGAGAAACACACATCTATTTCCTAAAGCAATGTTTCCTAAAGTAGCTGGGGTTTCTTTAACAGATTCAGACAAGCCCTGACAAAATGAAGCACTTGGCAAACTGGGGTAGAAACCTGTGGGAGTACCATTACACTCTGTTCCAGAACCATTTATGGATAGGGGTTGTGACCTTTTCCAATCATTTTAAAGGAATGGGAAGCATTCTGAAATCACTGGGAATGAACAGAGGGTGGTGGAAACAGSAGAACTGAGGCTCAGCCCAGCCAGAGAGGGCTGTAAGGTGGTAGGAGCTCATTGGRACATTGGTGGCTTCTCACTGCCAGYGGTGCCCACACAGACCTACACTTCAGCGGGGATCTGCAGGGCAGAAGCCATGGGAGGGAGGGGATGAATCTGTTTGTTCAACTGCTGCCCTTTGAAAMGTCCCTTCACTTCTTCTGGAAAACCCGACCCAGAGCAAGTTTCACCTCTTTGTTTCTGAGTGTGTAAATGAAGGGGTTTAAACAAGGAGTTACCACTGTGTTAAAGACATTGGCGATTTTGTTCAGCTCCAGGGAGTTCTGGGCCGATGGTTTGACATACAGGAATATGGTGGAGCCATACCAGATGGTGACAACACTGAGATGGGCAGAGCAGGTGGAAAAGGCCTTTTTCCGGCCATGGGCTGACCGGATCCTCAGGATGGAAGAGATTATGCACATGTAGGAGACCAGGGTGACCACACAGGAAGCCACCACGACGATTATGGAGACAACGAAGGTTGCCAGCTCCACAGACCGTGTATCACTGCAGGAGAGGGCAACGCAGGAGTCTATATCACAGAGAAAATGATTAATGATGTCTGGCCCACAGAATGTCAACCTGGATGTCAGAAAGGCCAGCAGGGAGATGGCCAGAAAGCCTCCTAGCCAGGAGCTGARTGCCAGCCGAACAGAGAGGATGCTGCTCATGAGGGAGCTGTATCTCAGGGGGTAGCAGATGGCTAAGTAGCGGTCATAGGCCATGACAGACAGGAGAAAACACTCAGTGGAGCCTAGAGAGAGAAGAAAGAACAACTGGAGGATGCAGACACTGAAGGAGATGGTCTGGCTAGTCCCCAGCATGACTCCTATGGCTTTGGGAACAGCACCTGTGGTGTACCAGATCTCCAGAAAGGASAGATTACAGAGGAAAAAGTACATTGGGGTGTGTAGGTTGCTGCTTGTCCACACAAGGGCTATGATGGATGCATTGCCTATTAGTGTCAGGGTGTACATCAGGGCAAACACCACCACAAGGAAGACTCGGGATTGCCATGTGCCTGGGAAGCCAAGAAGGATGAATTCTTCCACACTTGTCCCATTTGCCATGTCCTTCCAAATGCTGATGTCMCTCTGCAAAGAAAGAAAAGTTTCTRTGRAAGTTTGCATGCCTGTGCTGGTCCTTCAGGTACTACAAGTAGCKGAACAAAATCACCATCACTGAAAATGCAGCTGGTGCACAGCATGGGGAAATGGCATTTATCCTAAGTTAAACTGTCAGAGAAATCCTTCCCTGATGAAACATGTTTRGATAACTAGATCTGATCCTGAAAATCAGGCCTACCCCAACAAATGAACATTTGGAGAATTATTTATCAGATTGTGCACCTCCTTTAYAATGTGGGGAATGCAGTCACTTCTGTGAAAATCCCACTTAGGAAACTATGGACAACAGGCTGAGACTGTCCAGCTGTGGGAAAAGCTGTTACAAGTAGGAAGGGAATAACATAACCTGTAATTTTCAAGGCAGGCAATACTGAGGTGTGGTATCAGCAAATGCATCTGAGTAATACAAATACTGTCATGATGATGTGGCACTGCAGGAGATTTTCCYACCTCTTCCAGGTCAGTTTATTACAAGGTGTTGTGACTGAGCTGCAGGCACACAGGGCAGCAGGTTAGTGTGACAGTCACTGCTCAGGGATTGCTGTTCTTGCTTTCTTCCGAGTCTCAGAACAGGAAGCTTTTGCAAATACCTCCATTTCCTGCACTGATGAGCATAGCTATTAGARGGCCAAATTCACCTCTTTGCAATTTCACCATCTCAGAGTCAGRGAAGGATTTCTGCTGACAAAGCTGAAATATCTACAGTAAAATATTCCTGTCTCAGCTTCTCAGCTTAACCCCTTTTTTTCTCCATAGACAGAGAAAAAGCATGAGGGAGACACGGCTCTTTTTGTCTTATATACAAGGCTAAAAGCCCTCTCGAAGTGTCAGGTGGTTTCTGAGGTCTGAGGCAGGAGTCTAGTGAGCACCTTAGATGGATGTCAGACATCTCAGCTTGGGCTAAGATATTTGAGATATTCCACACCTCAGTGACTGAAGGCAAAACCCTCTGAGTTGAATCTCATTAAAGGYAACCCAGCTGAACTGTTCCTGCAGACAACAGAGGATTCTTGATCAGTTCTCTAGGAAAGAACATATCTTCAGGTGAATGTGAAAAACAGATGGACTAAAACACCAGCTGAATCATCTCTTTCTCTCCTATCTTCCTCCACTCCAGCAATGTATACAAGAAATCTCATGTATTTAAAGAATAAAGAATTCCCCCTTAATCCAGCTCTCCTTAAACATGCAAGGCTTTGAAGTCTGTGCTGTATGTCTTGGGCAGGCTTCACTCACCYGATTTGCCTGTGGAAATGATCCAAATGACATCTTTTCGTGCATCATCCTCCCAAGGAAGCCACGGYCCCCTTGGCTAATGGAGAACATTGGAAAGAGGTAGGTTTATTGTGGGGAGCTCTGGATTCAGATGAAGGTGTGTGTATGAACAGCTCTCCCCTTGCCGGCTCACTTCRAGCTGGCGGCAATTGTCTGACCTTGTTTCCTCTTCATCCAGTAGGAGCTGCGAGCTTGCACTCCTGATCTTTTCCCTCTCCCAGCCACCGCTGTAATTCCACTACAGGGAGTTTTGTGTGCACACACACGAARTGTAAACCCTCCTCAGTTCAGCTTCCTGCAGTGAGATCATACACCTGAGAGTCGCCAGCATCATTAGCATAAGAACATCTCCACACCCRTCTCATTAACACAATGAAGCTCCAGCTGGCTGCACCTAGGAGACTGTTTTCTGTGTTCCCTCTGGTGTGCCCCAGGGAGTTTGACCTCTGGGAGGTTTTCCAGACTTGGCAGAGATGGATAGTACTCTCTCTTCACGCAGACCAATTAAAGAAGAGCAATGCAATTCCCTAAGTGGCTGTTAGGCTGRGTGTTTGCCTCCTGCCTGCGGCTGTGGTATGAGAAGCTTGTCAGGAACTCAGCTGACACAGAGATGTCTGAAACAGTCGTGTTCCAAGAGACTGGAAGTGTCAGGTATTTGGTGCTGGATACTAAGGTGGTCGTGAAACCTCTGGGGTGTTAAGTAACTAAAGGCAACTATGAGTACATGGATACACCCATAAGGGATTCACTTGCCTTATTTAGAGCCTTTAAATGCATTTATGGCCTCTGTCTTCAGTCTTAATTAAAGTGAMGAACTAAGTAAAGATCTAAGTTCAAAATAGGGCAAGACATTAGAAGAGGAAAATCAATTTCCCCTGACTCCAGAGAAGGTGTCTCCAATTGAGGTACTCATCTGTGCTCCATTGATCATCAGCTGAGAGAAACAGATGCTCTCAAGCCTTAGTTCAAAGCTTACAAAAAGTGCTGTCTCCCACAGATCAGYCAATCCAGGCCTTACAAAACCCTCTTTTTCATCTTTTGACACTCAAGACAAACTAGCTGGATCCCATACAGACACACAAAAATGCACACACTTCTCATCCTCTGGGCATCTTGAGTTAGCCTCTCTCTGGAGCTGAATCTGTCTGCACTGGCGAGGGCCACCACACAGGTGTWGGATTTGACAGAGACATTTTCTGCAAGCCCTGTGTCCCAGGCTTCAGTGTGGTTGAGAGAAAGCTGATCTGTACTTGGTGTGAGATGAGGTGGAGATGCAGCTCACGGGAGTAAAGTGCTCAGCTTGAGCCCATTTGCTGCCCATGAAACCATCTCCCCACTGTCTTTCTGTCCTGTTCATGGACATAGATGTGGGGTTTAGCCATGGGTYGGAGGTGTTGGAGCCTGTGGGTTTACTTGTGAGTGTCTGATGAAGCAAGTCATGCACACGTGACCAGGTCCAGTGACTGCTGTGAGCTTGTCCCAGTTGGGGACTTCAGAGGCCACCAYTGGATCATCTTCAGGGATCTGTGTCTCCAGAAAGATGATCCATGCCATTTGCTGTGCACATCTGCTTTGGGATGAGCTAAATCTCATGGGTGACTCAATGTACCATCACTCACTGTGGGAAGGGTCTATAGAGTCTGTTAGAGCTGGTCCTGACCACRTGTTGGGCTCCCTATCTGCAGGACATGCTCTGAGACCAAGGGGCTGTGYCTGAGTGGAAATGTTGGAAAGTTGAGCCTGATCCCCACTGCCTGTGGAGAAGTCAGGGGTGTCTTCATCAGCTCCAAGGGACAGTGACTGAAAGGGCCACACTGCTGTGTTTCCCAACCTACCCTTCCTCTGGAAATAATCAATGGTCCATTTGTGTCTCCATCTTTTCCTCCACCACCCATGGCAAAGCCTTTTAGTCTCAGCAGCTTGAGACAAGGACACCAAAAAATAATTACTTGGAGGCTGAGAGTGAGATGCAGAAAGCTTTATTGTCATTGAAGCAGAAAACTAGTTCCCTTACAGAGGAACTGACAGCTGGTGGTGGCGGGACACCACAGGCAACTGCTAAAAGCTTGTGCCCATCACTGACACKGGAGATCCCACAGGGCACCCCACAGCGGGCAGGGGTCAGCAGATCCCCCAGGGAGGCTGCAAAAGTTACAATCCAGAAGTATGGAAGACAAGAGAGAGGCAGGAGAGAAAGGCAGGGAAAGCAAACATTGGCCATGGTTTCAGAGAGCCCCACCTGCCCTCCTTCAGAAGGGCAGCATTGGTTGCTCAGCATCTCTGAATTCAATGGCCAGAAGCTCTGTCCTCAGTCCAGCAGCAGCTTCTGGGTTCCTGGGGGTCCTTGTGAGGGCTGCACCAGTGTCTTTAGCATGGAGGACACCTTCTGCCATAGCGGCTGGTGATGCAGGAGAGGTCAAAGCCMCCAGAGTTGATGGGCACTCCATCACAGCTGAGGATGTTGCCAACAGCAGCCGAGGTGGAGGATCCCACCACGGTGTTCTGAGGGAAGGAGCTGAGGATGGGGCCAGGCAGGGTCACCACCACGGGTGAGGGCTGGATGGCCACGGTGGAGTCCTGGCACTGKCGGACACAGCACTCATTGCAGCTGTTGGCCAGCGGGGTGGGGCCGCAGGGCTGGCAGGGACGGCACTGGGTGTTGCAGGACATGGCTTGAGGCTGCAGATGCACCTGAGAGAGAGGAAAGGGAAGGAAGCAGAGCACAGGCACATGTAAGCAGCCATCGGCCATGAGACCATCATCCCACTGCAAGAATTTCAATGGTACTTGCTATGGGAAGGGAGAAACTGGGCAGTGAGAGAAAGGGGTTTTCAGCTTCATCCTGACACAGCACGGCAGAGTATCACCTTATTGCTTCAGTAAAGAGTCCCCTCAGCCAAATCCTTGACACTGTCTAAGTCAGATCTTTGCCCTTCTCTGACCCCTCAGCAGCAGCAGTACCAAGACCACCCATAAGCTATAGCAACATAGAACTTCACCAGAAAAGAACAGAGGAAAAGAGCTTCATACTCACCTGGGTCCCAAGGAAAAGGAAGCAGGAGAAGTGAATGAGAGAGCCTGGAGTTGAGCTGGCTTTTATGGTGGCTCTGAGTCGCCCCAGGCCCTGAGGTGGCTTCTATGAAAGTGRTAATTTCCTAAGGTGCTCATGATGTATGGAAAACATCCCAGCTAATGACATGGGCTGGGTGCTTGTTTTCTGTGTTGCCACCTTTTCATTTCCTGGCTTATGTCATACACATTTCTTCATGGAGGCTTCTTCTGAGCACTGAGAYGCCTCAGGGTTTCCAGGGCAGGAATGTGTCGGTGTCTGCAGAATCCTCAGCTCAAGTGCTGGATGGGTGCAGTGCAGGGAAGTGAGGCTGGGCTGGAGCKCATTGGTGTTGCCTGTGGCCTTGTTGACAGGAAGGGGTCCAGCTGCTCTCAGCACTCCAACCCTTGAGTGAACATGATACCACTGCAAAATGATATATCATGTCTTTTTTCTCCATCTCTTTCCTCCATGCCTCCCATCTTGCTCCAATGTTCATTTGTGTTTGGAATCTCAGGCATTTGGGCTACACTGTTGGGTTTCGCTCTCTTCCTCCTAAAGCTCTCCTTATGCCTTTCCAATATCTCAAAGGAGGGAGAATCTTCAAGTCATCTGGRCAATATGAACCAGTGCTTGGTCACCCTCAACAATAAGAAGGTCTTTCCTGTGTTTCAGACAGAGCTTCCAGTGTTCCAGCCTGTGCTCATTGCCTGTGGTCCCATCACTGGGCACCTCAGAGAAGAGCCTGGCTCTGCTCTTCTTGCACCTTCTAGATCTGGGCTGCATGGCAAGGTTTTGATTGTGGGGGAGCCAACATCAGGCTTTAAAGTCTGACCCACCACTGGCCAAGGCTGAGCTTGTCAGCAACAGTGGAGGTTATGTGGGATAACTTGTTTAGGAAGGGAGAAAAATCCTACTGTGAAGCAGCAGAGAGAGGAGAGGTGGGAAAAGATGTGAAAGAAACAATCCTGCAGACACCAAGCTCAGTGAAGGAGCTGGGAGGTGCTCCAGGTGACCCCATAAAAGCTCATGCTGGATCAGGCTCCTGTCAGGAYCTGTGGCCCTGTGAGTGACAGGCCTGTGCTGGAACAGGATTGCAGGCAGGACTTGTGAAGAGCTGAGCCCAWGTGAAGAGCTCACATTGGAGAAGCTCATGGAGGACTGTGTCCCATGCTGTGACTGCCCTGGGTGGTGAAAGGGCCTGGCCAGGTCTGGAGAATGAGAGCAACTCAGGCCTGGGCCATGCACTGAGAGGGCAGCGATGGCGCAGGGCTGGGCTGGGCACTGAGGGGGCAGCGATGGCGCAGGCCTGGGCTGTGCACTGAGAGGGCAGCGATGGCGCAGGGCTGGGCTGGGCACTGAGAGGGCAGCGATGGCGCAGGGCTGGGCTGGGCACTGAGAGGGCAGCGATGGCCCAAGCCTGGGCTGGGCACTGAGAGGGTAGCAATGGCGCAGACCTGGGCTGGGCCTGGGCTCTCACACAGCCCATGGCAGGGACCAAGGCGGACCTGAGCTCATGGTTGAGCTGGGTCTAGGTGGGCTTGGTCCTGGTGCTCCCTGTCCCAGGGTCACCTGCTGGCTCTGCTCTGGCTCCCGCAGACCCTGCATGGGGTAGAAATCCACTGGTRGCTGGGTTGTGACCTGTGGGACCATGGCATTCCTGGGCCGCAGGAAAGCTGCTCTGTCCTTGGGTGAGACAAGGCAGAACAAAGCTGCGTTGTGTGTTTTGTCACCACTCCCTGTCCCAGGGCTGCCTTCCCCTGAGGGGTGTTCTGTTACAGGGACAGGGGACGCCARTGTGGGTGATCCCAATGCCGCCCTGAGAGCACCTTAGCCCTACATAAGGAGCTCCAGCTAAGCCAAGGCCAGAGGCTGTGCTGCAGGGGGAGAGGGCTGAATGGGGAAATTTTCTCTGCTGCCCAAGACCAGACACACTGACCATGGCCTCTGGATCAGGTGATGGAGGAGAGGGGCAGTGGAGTAGGGAATGTGGGCCATTCCAAGGCTGTTAACCTATGCCCARTTCCTGCCACAATTTGGCTTGTGAGCTTTGTGCCCAGCACAGCTTCACACAAAGCAAGAACAGCAATCTCCCCCGAAAACTTGTGGAAATGCTGACCCCCTCAGGGTTTTCCACATGCCTGCAGTTCTCATCTAAAGAACAGAAGTTTTGGGRATTCCTGATTGTATGATGTACTTCAAGTCCAAGAAGTATTTCTGAGAGGAGATGCAGCCAGAGAAAGCAGAAATGGAGGAAGGGCTTCAGGCTCACCTGACTCCCAAAAAAGAGGCAAGAGATGGGGTTGAGAGAACAAAGAGCTGGGCTGGCCTTTATCATGGACTTTTACTGCCCCAGGCTGCCAGAGGCATCACCTGTAGAGGTAATCATTTTCTGACAATTTTGTCCTAAATGCAAAACATCCCCTTTAATGCTGTGAGCTGTGGTTTGGCTTCTTAAATGGCTGTTTTCACTTCCTGCTTTTTTTCAGGCACATTCCTTAATGAAGGCATCTTTTGCATGATGAGATGAGAGGCCCAAGCATTGCTGAATCAAAACACATCAGCGTCAGCACAGGACTCACGCACATGCTGCAAAAGTCCATTAAAAGTAAATTATGTCAGTCTGGGTCACCCCATTGAGATCTTATGAGCCTTTGTCTTGAAGAAGTGGCCTTGTTCCTTGGTTTGACTGTATCCCACCAAACACAGAACCCAGGACAATTCAGATGGTTGGTGGCTGGTTTTACCTTCTCCTGTCATGTACCAATGATGTGGAAAATGGGAAGAAAAAGGTAGAAAGTTTTATTCAGATCTCAGAAAGAAAGGCAAATGACATAATAAAGGAGCTTCCATAAGGACAAAGGCGACAAAGGAAAGAGTAAGGAAAATGACCACTAGTGTTTAATGTCTCCATGAATGGCATGAGTAGTGGGAAGGAGGACATTCTCCACAAGTTTGGAGGTGACATCAAACAACAAAGAACAGGCAGAGAACTGGCCTCTGTTGCCCAAGTTGTTCCCAGAAAATCCTAGAAACAGAGGAAAGGAATGGAGTCTGGAAGTGCTGTGCAACAGAAGACCAGGCAATGAACAGCTGCTGGAACATGGGGCTCTCAGCCTCCTCACTGCCATCTGCAGAAAAACTCCGGCTGCTCTTTCAAGCCGCTGAACATGGTAACAGCTCCAGAAAGCTGCTCCATCTCCTGTTTCAGGGCCCTGCCGCTGCCCCAGACTGCAGCTGGTGCTACGCAGGCTGATTCTCGCCAGGATGTCCTTGCTTGAAGAGGGCAACTGTCCATTTCCCGGGAGTCCAAGTCTGTGCTGCTGCAGAGCCCCTGAGTGCCCTGAAGCCGGGCAAGCGCCCGACAGGCACCGGAGCAGGGTCCAGCCACAGGGCGGAGCTGGAGGCGATAGAGAGGAGAGGAGAGGAGAGAAAAGAAGGCAGCACGGCCGGAGCAGAGAGCCGGGGCTGGCGGGGACAGCGATCTCGGGCGGCGGAGCGGCGGGATGCGGCGGGGTCGGGGCGCGGGGCTGGCGGCGCTGGCCGCGGTGCTGCTCGGTGAGCAGRGCTGGGGCTGGGGCTGGGGAGAAACCGCAGGCTCCTGGAAGTTGCCGTACTCTTTCGCTTCTTCACGGACCTGTTTCCCATAACCATGCTCGAGTCCATCCCTTCCCCTGTACCATTCCATATTC